TATCAAAAGTAGGTCACTGTGACCAACATTTTTACCTTTGACCTATATCAAAGAAAAAACTTGTGTGTGCTATACCTTCTGCACAGTACAAGTCACTTGAACCTTATACACAAGGTATGGGTTAATCTTCATGAGGCCGTGTGTCCCACACCAAAAATTGGTCATGATAACCTATAACCTACATCAAACAAAATGCATTTTAGGCATATGATTAGCATATATTGATTAGCTGCATTGTATAAACATGTCTTATAGTTACCAAGTTTTTTGCAAATGCTTTGATATAGTCGTGATCTAACAAATATGATAACTGTTATGATATGTATGTTATATATGATAATTCAATAGCAGCATCAACTAATGTCAGTTATAAGATCTTAAAAACAAGTGATATTCACGAGCTAGTATACGATTACGTTGCAGAGATATTTAAATTTTTGTCAAAGTGGGAGAACACTAGAGATTTGAATGAAAGTTGGGAACCGGGCAGTTGGACTGGTTTATGCAGGAGATTTCAGAATTGTATGACATAAAGCGGGGGATCCCACCGAATGCGGGAGATTTGATAAGGATGACAGATTAATGTGAATAATAATATTGTGTCAAATTTTGCGCCAAAATTTAAGGTCACTAAAATATTCCAAAGTGGTGGACATTCACTCAAAGTTAGTTGTTGTGTTTGATATGTTTTGAAAATATGTGTTTATTATTTGCTGTATTTTTCAGAACACCTGCAGAAACGACCAAAACACTAAATGTAAGAGAGTGATATCCAACGGATGTTGTACACAACAATCAATAGATCATGAATGCACAGATAATATTCACCGTGTGTAACATACTGAGTCTAGAGACAGTCACATACAGTGTAATTTACTCTCTTGATTGATTTAAAGTATATATATGGACTTTGGACCTTTGAACCAAGTCAGCCATTGTCATACCCATTTGTCGTCAATTTCTTTAATCGGCTTCTTCTGTTAATCAAAATTTGACTAAGTTTGGCTGGACGTAATTTTAGGAAGTGAGGATTAAAAATGTACAAATGGAGAGGCTAACCTATCTGGAGGCTGGATAGGGCCCAAAAGTGGAAATTGGCTCTGTTGCTTTAAGAATCTTCTTCTGGAACTAAAAGATGGATGTGAGTCAAATTTGACTGGAAGCATGCTTACAAGATGAGGTTTCCACCAAATTTGCCTGTCCGAAGTGACCACAGGAAGGATATTATAATGCATACAATAATTTCAATAGTCAAAACAGATGCATTAAAAACAAATGGAGCAACAAAAAATTCTGAAATTTTGAGGATTTATCCCGTTAACTTTTAATCCATCTTCACTGTTCTTCAGTAAATCTGTGTAATGACAGCAGCCATGATTATCTTATTCAGTGTCATTAAGTACGATCAAGTAGATCTACTAGTTTTCCTGATAAAGTATTTAAATAAATGTAATTCCTTGATTTTATTAGTATATTTAAATCAAATATATATGGTAAATAACTAAAAAATACAAGAAGTTTTAAGTCTGAGAATCAGTTTTTCATTAAAAGGTTTTGCAATTTTTTTTTCAGTCTTTTGTACGAGAATGATTAGTTAGATCTATGCTGATATTTTGTGGGATGGATGAAGAGGCCGCTCCGACCGTACAAAACAGTGTCAAACACCTTCAGGACAGGTCATCAGAAAGATCCGATACAACCAAAGATGCCAAGCAGACGCCCTGCTCCTCAGTTTTTAACTTCTTTGAAGAGAAAATGATGATTGTTACACCGGTAATAATAAGTAGTTTCCCTCTTTGAATGAAGAGAGACACACCGTTAAACATTTTTTATCGGACTGCATTGACCTTCTGTCTACTCGAGAATGTTTTATCGTAACATTGCATGTCTTAAATCCCTTTTTGAAACTGTTGAGATTTGTAAAATTCTACATTACCTGATAGATGTTGGTCTGTATAATAGACTATGACGGAGCATTTTAATCTTTTGTGTTAACATACCCATTTAAGATTTTAAACATTTGTCTTTTACCTTTTGTTTTGTTTAATGTTATTTTCGTTTGGATCACTGTGTGTTTTACCGTTTGATGGCCCTAATGACCTTCTATGTGTTAACGGGCCGTTAAGTATGTAATAATAATAATGATAGTGGCCTTTTATCAATATTGTTAAAAAAAGTTGTCATTCGGTTTAACGTACCCGCCGTGTATGTATATACAATAATTCTACCTGTATAGTTCTTTTGTTTTCACCAATCTGTTCACTTGCTCCTGTTAATTTGGATTCTTTTTGGGGACAACCCTGAATCAAACAAGTGAAATGAAGAATATCGTATTGAGAATGACAATGATGACAGCCCATTGTTAGAAATGTATATTACTACAGCACAAAAGATGCACCGAGTTGCTCCATCCTACATGTATTTTCACCTGTGGCTACCTGTATTTTACCTATGTTATCTACCTGTAAAATCTTGACATCGGTAATCAGGTATCAATTTACCTTACAATTTACATGTTAAGGGTAGTCAGGTACAACGTTATTTGTAGAATACACCTGGGCATTTTATGGTACTGTGAATATAACAATCAGAATAATTAATTATTTATATGTATAATTAATATGTATGTGGTGTTTTAAACGAAGTATTGACCTGTCAAAATACAAAACCTATGAATATTGGCTTTTAAAAATCGTTAAGTTAAACAATTATGCACAGTGATACACAGTTTGGGTATCATGTTTTGCAAATACTGCTGTATAATTAATATGTATGCGTTATTTTAAACGAAGTATTGACTTGTCAAGATACAAAACCTATGAATATTGGTTTTTAAAAATCGTTAAGTTAAACAATTATGCACAGTGATACACAGTTTGGGTAGCATGTTTTGCAAATACTGCTGTATAATTAATATGTATGCGTTATTTTAAACGAAGTATTGACTTGTCAAGATACAAAACCTATGAATATTGGTTTTTAAAAATCGTTAAGTTAAACAATTATGCACAGTGATACACAGTTTGGGTAGCATGTTTTGCAAATACTGCTCAATTTATATGATTATTCACTATATACTTACTTCCATTTCGGAGCGAAACTGGACACTGGAATATAATTTAACATATGTAACGGTGAAAGTATTTCATTACGGATGTTATTTTCAACTTTTGAATCCATGCCGTGCACGTTCTGTTATTGTCAATAAACTGTAGCATTAATACATGAACTGGTGTTTATTACAGCCATTATTTATTTCATCATTGACGGTGTCGTCTGCTAAAAGTTCATACATTTCAAATGTGATTCGAGTATACGATCGGAGGCAAAATGATTGAATAGCCAGTTTTCAGTATGTGAACGAAGTTCATTTCATGTCACCGTATCCAGACTCATTTCAGTGTGATGGTAGTGTAAAGCGTCCGCCATTCAAGTAGAGCTACACGCCACCATTTCAAACTTGATATACCAAAGATTTGTCGATCACCACCTATTTCAAATCTCCCAAGGTCTGTTCCTAAACAGTATTTTTATCATGAGAGGCACTGGATGGATCTTCCTAAAATGTTGGTTCCTGTTAGTCCCGATTTCTGCATTTTTTTGTTTTGGTCTGATCAGAAAATAAGGGCCGACAGGTGACCATCTTTGATTTTACAATTAATACCGTTATCGCTATTCCTTGAGTACTACGGTATGGGTCTCTTTCAAACGTCATATATAGGTTTCTCTTGATCTTTATTTAGGCCTGTATGATTTTGGGACTGATCAGAAATAACAAAGCAAAATTGCCGATAGGCGGCCATCTTGGTTTCAACTTCGTAAGATTGTTATCGCTTTTTCTTGATAAGTACTGGATGGATCCCTTTTACATTTCATCTGTAGGTTCCCCTTGGTATCTAGGTTTGCCAGTTTGATATTAGAACTAATTAGGAAAAATATGGAATAGCCGATAGGCAGTCTTCTTTGATTTTATATAGCTAATTCTTGATAACTAACGAATAAATCATCCTAAAATTCCATGTCCATGTTTCACTTCGGCCCTAGTCGTATCCGATTACTTTTGAAAATGATCAAAAAACCAATATGCATGACATTTGGCCACTTCGCCTGGTAAAGTTTGTTATTGCAATTTTTGTTAGACGTGATGAAGTGATCTCCCTAAAATGTCATGATTTGTGTGATTTTGGACTGGTCTGCTAAGTATAATGACATCCAGGCGATCATCTTAGATTTGGAAGTTCAAGGAATAGTTCAAAGTTTTTTCATGGTGAAGAACAATTTGTTAACGTATATAATATGCAAACACAAACTGGTGAAGGTATTATGATCGTACATAAAATAACGGATCTTATCAAGGAAGATTTCACAAAATATCACAAGGAACATGATGAACTCATGTATCAGTATATCAAGTACATTTAATGCGAAATAACTTTCATTAAAAAAAGAAGAAAATATGAACTTGTTAAAACATAACCATGATCCTAGTTCAATAAATCATGGGGAAATAGGAACAAGATAGTTTTTTACACAGAGTCGACAACAAGTTCCTGCAATAGGACATATCTTACATTGATAAATGTCAAGGATTGTTGACATTGTTAACATGAGGTATTTTCAGATTGCTTGTTTGTATAAATGGAATAATTGGTGGTATGGTTTATCTATGGATGACATAACCAGGTTTGATCTTTACGAATTGCTTATTTAGCAAACAATTTCCTCGCGTGATACATGTACTTATTTGAATTTTACATGAAGTCATATCTAGTAAAGACACTCCTTAATTAGGTTTCTGAGCAGCACTGTAAACGATATATCAAAAGTTCAGATTTCAATGGTATGACATTTATTAAATACGTAATTTTGAATAAAATCATATTTATTTATGGTTTTAATCTTAAGCAATGAATCTCGCTTTCATTAACAATGACATTGCATACTTTACTCGTGGTCGCGGATTTATGGCGGATGCATAAATATGTCATCATTTTTCCCCACTAAGCCTTTGCGATTTGTTGGCCACTGGGAAGGTCCCGTCTCCTTCTGATGACAAAGTACACAACAGCATTCAAAATTCCGCCAATGTTACAGAAGGTGGTCACAAAGTAAATCATATGCACTGGTGGGTTCGGAAACAGTACCAGAATACTTAGAATGGATGCTGGCCACCACTGAATAAAGTACACGATCAGAAACAGAAACATGTTCCGAGCAACACGGTGAGACCTGGCCGAAGCGTTTACAGTAGGACCAAGTGATGCCTCTAAAGCACGACTTTCTATCCGTACCCGACACCAGGTAAAGCCATACAAGGTGGTGTTCGCTATTAGGATGAGAATCATTGGTACAGAAACGATGAGATTGCCGATTCGTCCTCGAACATTGTCAAATAAACAGCTGAAATAACAAAATGTTTTCGAGATAAGTCCTTTCGTTATAGGCTGTTAAATTGAACAACGTTGCAAAATTATAATGTGCAATATTTGTAAATTTCATTTCAAAACTGACGTGTAATTTTTCATTTCATATTTTAATAATGCACACGAATATACTTTAGCGGTAATTTTAATATAGCAATTTGATCGCTGAAGGTATTGTACTTCAATATAGTGGTGTTAATTGCAGTTGCTTACGTAGATATTGTGGATGAACGAATTTAGTATTGCATTTGATTTACATGGAATAAGTATGTGCTTAAATTTGAGGACATGAACAGTTTTTGAAATTCTTTGATAAAAACAACTACCCTAGTATTTTTTGATTGCCACAAGACATCAATAATAGGATTTTACATGCACGAAACATATATGTTCAAAGCTTATAAAAGGTCAAAAGTGGGAAATTTTCGCAAAGACAAGTACAAGTAGGGGGAAATCTAAAGGTTGTGTGTTAAGACCAGCGGTAGCGTTATCGCAATCAGTTGTAGCTAAAATAAAGAAGGCCTTTATGACTACAGAAATATAAACCACAACATATATGACTGAAATGGAGAAACCGGTGGATGTAATAAATACTTTGGAATCTATGAGCCAAAATATTAGTGTTATTTATAGATACTTACAAACCTCCATTTGTTCCAAATTGTCCCAGGGCGGCAAATACAACAGATGACGTCAATGGCATTCCGAATATCCAAAGAAACATTTTCCAGTCACTTGAACCGTTATCGATATCCTTATGGCGACAAATAACGTGAAAAACGGTTACTGCGATGACATTGACAGTTAAGATTTGAGTCAACACGAGAGAGTTGATGATAAAGCCATAAGCTTTACAAAGCATTTCCGGTCTCACGTGATCTCGCGTGATTAATATCTGCGAATGATCCAACAGGTGGGTGATATCCAGCACGATTTCAGTACATGCCATGTAGAAAACAAATCGGTCACTCTTGGTCCAGGTGAAAAACTGTCTCAAGCCTCTGTCCATGGATGATGCTATGATCACGTACAGGGCGGAAAAGATGCTCAATCCGAGGCACGTAATCGCCAAAGAATGTAACAACCTAAATGACCAGCTATCAGTGCCGACCAGTTCAATGTCAAATTCGCTATTAATTACCGGTGAGATTTGTTTTGGGATTTCACTGGTTACAGATTCATTATCCATGATGTTTTATACGATATCAAGTATCCTAATCAGTCGATATCCCTTTCTGTAATCAACAGGTTGTGATAATTATTTAATTTTTTTTTCTTATGAAAGAATCCGAGGATCTATAATCCTGTTGTATATACCCGATGCATCAAATAATCACCACAAAGGCACACAGTCAAGTTTTTTAGTCGACAGCGACATTTGCCCTTCCTATGGATGGTGCACAATATGCATGATCGTGCACTGTATATATATATACACCCATCCGGATGAAATTGTATATAGGCATGCGGCTGAGGAAATCGACCTTTCGAGATAGCCAATGAAAGCGGAGAAACTGGAGGAAATCCTTAAATGACGTCTCGGTTCAAATGTTCCCACGCTAAGACTAAAAATAAAACTAGACAATTACGACAGCCATAGAAATGTTATTATTGTTATTATTATCATTACATCAAACGGTAGAAATGTTATTGTGTAAATGAACAAATCTAGAAATTAAACTATTTCTGGTTAGTATTTTATTTTAGTAGGAGTTTTTTTTAAGCAAAATACGTTTTTGAATTGCGATGCTGACAGGGAAAATCCCCAGAAATCACCAACGTCACTTCGATGTAATACGTGTCTGCAACGACAGCTTGTAACGATGTAAACACGTTGCTCACACTGAAGGTACTTTTGAGTTGAACCGGAACGGATTAAATCCTTAAACTATGGCTTCCAGTTTCAATATTCCACATCGATTTTGTACTGGTGGTGTTTCTCGTGGGGATTTATTGGACGACATAGACAGAGTTTTTTCCTTCGAGTTCTCGGCCAGCTGGTAATATAAACAAACATGATCATGTTGTAATGAACCTATTGCACGTTCCGAATCTGATGAATCTGATGATGAAAACGACGATGGAATGTTTTATGCTAACTCATTTGAAAGCCCAATTATACAGAATCGCATCCAAGATTTTCTGCGATCGATCCCCGTGTTGTTTATCTGTTATATATATATATTGTACACTGTACATACACATATATGGGTGAATTATTCTGTCACAGTATATCTAAGTTAAAAATGTAAAACTATCCCCCAATATTATGTGTCTGCTTGTGAGTCCAGACCAATGTCTGAAACGACATTTCCAAGGTGAGCTGATATACATATAATGAGGAAAAAGTATGGAGAATTAAAGATATGAAAGGAAAAAACTCACTGTAATTTAATTATATTTTTTTGCTAATCAGTGTCGTTTTGCTGGTAGCTGTCCCAGGTAAAAGATGTTCATCATGATAAATAATATTTAGTAAAAGTAACTACCCGGTAAGCTTGATGTGAATAATTTATTAAATACATTCACCTTTGATTTCATTAGCATGCAATTGTGAATAATGTTTTTCCCTTGGTTGTTTTTTGAATCTGGTTTTACTTCACCTCAAATTCATGACCCACCAAACTGATTTTTTTTAATGTGTGGGATGTATCGGGACCATATACAAAAGGTAAATGCCATAAATTTGAACTTCTGAAAAAAGCACATATAGTATATTAGAATAAATAGATGTAATACCAGTTGAGTTTGAATGCAATATAGTAGTTGAAATACAATTATGTACTGGCACCTAGCTCTTGTATGTAAGAGAGAACACTTCCTCTATTCCCTGATTAGTAGACACTTTGATTTAAAACAGATACAATCTAACGTTTTGTTTATTGCTCTGATCACTTTGTATTAAACGTTAGTTTGTAGAAGTTTTGGATTTTTTTCTTCAGGCTTAGACAGAGGAGCAAAGCAACAAAAAGCAACTGCTGATGTCAGTGCACACATCCACTCTGCTCAGAAGGAGAGGGACTTCTACCGCCAATATAAATGGAGCAGTTACTGCAGTGCAGGAGTATCCAGACCCACAATATCTCCAGTATATTAATTGTACCTTTAACTTTGCTCAAAGTGTTTGTCTGCCATCACAAGAAGGTGCCTTTTATTTCAAGTCATCATATTTGTTCATGAACATCTGTTACATTACGGAATTAACGTACAGCAAATAAAACGGAAAATTCAACAATTTATCGACAACAAATAAATTATATACAGTAAAATCACAAATATTGCGATGGTGTACAGAGCTAGATATTAATTAATCAAACGTCAGAACTTATCATACGGTGGAAATCCTCAAAATCTAGAAGAATTCATAATAGATTGTCAGGAATACAGGGTAACCGAAGAATAATCCAACAACTGTTTCCTTGCTCGGTATATGTAAGTGCAAATCTACAAGGAACTATCACTAAATCACTGTAAATGTCCACCCTTTACAGACTGAAGTGTCAAAGTAAGCTCACTCAAGGCGTATATACTTCAAAAAGCTGCTCAGGCTCAGTTCCGTCATGTTTATATACACTAAAGGTTTCTAGAAAGTTCCTTTCTGGATGATTCTTAACTAGCAGGTACCTAGCTTATTCACATATGTCTTTAGAAACATGCTGAAACACACCGGTAATTCTAATATCCGAGCTTTCTATATTTAGAAACTTACGGAGACACACAGGACATTCTAATACCCGAGCTTTCTAGAAAAATCCAAGCACTATTTACACATATTGAGACAAATGATCATAGACAGGTTTTTATGTAAACAATCAATATGATACAATGCCATACAAACACAGCAAATCTGAATTTGGATTAATACACAACATTTATACCTAACATATGACAAGTTCAATTTCAAAGTTAATCAAAAACTTTCATTAGAAACCATTGTCAATATGCAGAAATGGAAAGCAATGATCTTTTTTCCCCCCTTTTTTTTGTTAACTGAAAATAAAGAAAATATGATAGCTGGTAAATAACTTGTACTGATATTGTCTGCTACTAATCCTTCTTGTTTAATAATGCTATTGAACATATTATTTAACTTGAAATCCTTTATTATATTCAGATCCCTCTACAAGACTAATCTGTTTGGTATATGCAATGATGTACGTGCTGTACAGACAAACTATGTATTCGGTGAAGATGAGTCCATTGGCATGGATTGTACTCACAGCCACTTTGCAAATGCTGTGGTGTCAATGTCACACCATTACTTGTCATATTTTGTAGAGGGAGAAACGATCTGGTACTTCAATGCAGATAATTGTGGAGGGCAAAATAAAAGTGTAGACACCGCTTCTCCACACAACAAGTTATTCAGTATCTTACATTAATATTATATAAATTACAACCTTTTGATATGTTGACTGTAAATTGAATAATTCATATCAATATCTGATGACATTGAATTATTTGTGAAGCAAGTGGGAAGTCAAGTGACCGTTGTAAGTATTGTATGCTGTTTTGTAATTAACTATTATTATTAATTTCTGTATCATTAGGCAGTGACACCATCAACCACAGACGCATTTGAGACTGGAAGGGATGTTTAAGCCGGTCTTTCGACCTGTCACCAAAATACAGCAGTTTCACTATTTCTGCTTTTTCTCCCCACACCTAGGTAATTGATAATGCTAATATAATGTACTGCTACATATTCTATGATAACCATATGTACAGAAATTAAAAACTTTTTAATTCTGTATTTGATAATAAAATTACATCAAACTTCAGAGCATGGTATCTATGCAAGAACGTCAGGCAGTTTGTTAAAGACCCATGTAAAGATGTGCTTCTGTAAAAGAGGAGCAACATGCTTCATTGAACTTATACATTTACCATGGAAACATAGTGTATATAATCTATCAGTGTATAGATCTGGCGCAACGCAAAATTCTTCACTCTGATAAAAAGTAATTTTGCAGATTCAATTCATTCAAATCAATATGATATTTGATGGAATTCCGTTCTCCTTTTTTTTCTCTCTCCATTTTCCGAGATTGATAGAGTAACATTGCGATGGAATGGTGTTTCTGCTTAAGCGTCTTCATGCCATGTAATTTCGATTTCTTTTTGTTTTACTGCTCATTTAATGAATCGCACTACCAAGGTTAAGACATTTCAGTGTGATAGCAATATACAGCGTCCGTCATCCATGGACACCGTTGAACTACTACGGCTGTTGAGAGAATGTGAAACACATTAAATTGCAAACACTGAGCAAAAGTAGTATAACACATGAACAAGTAAGCTTACATCAAACCTCTCACCACTGAGATGAAACTTAAGACATGAAGAATGTTTAGTATATTGCCATATTGTTAAACATCCTATTAAACGCTACGTAGTGCTGAACTAATGCCTACTTTATTGTGCTACAGCATTAAAGCAGAGTTACACACCACCAATTAAAACATGATATAACATATAACATGTTTTAAAGATAAATGTCAAAAAGAACGGTGATCGAGTAGCCATCAACTTGTGACCTTTATTAGGGCGCCATTTGTGTTGACAGCTTCCATTATGTACACGCGATATGGCTCACGCAATCAGCAAATGAAAATGAATATGAAAAAGGAAACCCTAGAGCAATAATTTTTTTAAGCTCGTTAGTATGCCATTTTCTGTTGAGTTTAACATCATCTATTGAGTTCATCGAAAAAACCCCGAAATTCCTCCAATGGAGACATGATCTATATTAATATCTTTGATATCTTCTAGGTAGTTGATATAGAAATAAAATCAAGGGCCTATCCTGCTTTTACGTAATCGGATACAGTAGTCGTATTCCTAAACCATCCTCATCTGCAAGGGATGTTCTACAATTAGAAATCCGTCTTTTGCACGCGTCAGAATATCTGGTTGTTCAATTGTTGCTGTCACGTCTTAAGAGCACTATTTCTTGATTATAATTTACATGGCAGGCGTCGTTGATGAACAAAAGACTTACCGTTCCGAAATATTGCGCGTTCTCAGCAGTATTTGTAGAAATATCTATGTTTTCCTATTTTTGCTATATATTTTCCTATTCAGTTTGTGCTCAGATTTTGTTGACATGTCGGTATTTTCGTTGCTATTGTCGCAGAAAAATAATCATAAAATCGTTTGTAAAACGTCTCCGAAGGATTTATTTAGTGA